CTCTTTGCTTATTCTCTATTTATAAATGTTCATTTTAATGTATTTTTGTACATTCTCATATTTGGAGATGGCTGGTTTTCGGTCAATGCCTATACTCACACATGAGCAAAGGTATTAATGTGTCTAAAGCATATTTGCTATTCTCTTGTTTAAAAATGTTTCACACATCCAACCAGGGAGCAGAAACAACAATAAACTTTAAAAACTTCTAACGCTGAAAGGAGGTCTCTTTTAGACAGCAATGATGGGGCAGGTTGGCCAGGCACCTGTACAGCAGGGAGTAGAGGAATGGTTTGGGGAAATTACTAAACAAAACTCAGCAACCACATAGCTACTCAGTAACTACCAAGTATTTTACCTTTTAACAGTTTGATTTTATGTTATCTGTCTATTATTGTTTGCCTGCCATGTTTATTTACATTGTAAGCTCTTTGGGACAGGGACTGCCTCCAACTGTGTACTGGGCCGAGTGCAATGAAACACAGACCCTGGTTAGGGATATGATTAAAATAGTCAATTTGAGCTATGCATGAACAGCTAATAATTATAAATAGCCACGGTTATAAGTATTGTACATAAACAGTTCTTTGAATAATTATGCAAAAAGACCAATTAAAGTCAGGCTGTTAACACAGGATTCACAAATGGAATAAAAGGTTAAGTGTGCAACAAATACTATTCACAACAATCAATATTCTTATTAGTCATTTATATTAATAATTCTACTTGTTCTGCTTATAATGAGACCAGTCTAACAGTACTTCTGTTCCAAAATGTATATATTTTGGTAGACTCTGAGGCCACCATACATATGCCAATACTTGTGTTTTGCTATTATGATGGAAGAGACTACGTTAGTCCTTTACAGCTGCTGGAATCAGATTATGGCCAAACAAAGAAATCTGAAATCAAGGTACGTAATGATTATGCTCCTAGAGGCCTGTAATTGGTGCTTTTCCCATTGCCATTTGTACTCATGTGTCAACGAAGCTCAGCATTTATTTTTATTTTTTCTACTGTTTCTAATCCCATATGGGCTGTGCTTTGATCAAAGATATCTTAGATGTGTTCCAAAGATGGGTTCTCACTGGAAAGAAAATCATATTAGCTGTTCAGCATCTACTAAGCCACGTAACGTTGAGTACTGCTGCTCCCACAGGTGTATGGCTAATGCAAAACAAGAAGGAAGGCATTCTGACTTTGTGATCTTAAAATCAGAAGTTACATTCCACCAGAAAAACAGGTGACTAAGTTGGTGCATATTCATTCTGTATCTCCTCTCACAAGGTATTGTTTTACTAAACAAATCTTTCCATTTGCAACAGTGGAGAGAACTTATTTTTAAAAAAGGAAAGGGTGATGGTGATTTAATTAACATCTCCATCGGGATATGAAACTATATTTCAAATCAATCTCATTGTTAATTTCATTTTTGCCACAGACTGGAAATGTAAACTGTCCTGACATGTCCAGATGTTTTTAAAATTTTAGTTTTTCCAGACATTACTCAATCCACCTGACATTGAAGAGGGAGGATTTATCATTAGTTCTCAGTCTTCAGTGGATTCATGCAGAATTCAGACTCCCTTAGCCATACTCATGTCAGGTTGTTCAAAATAAAAATACATATTTGTTTTACAATCCAGTCTGACTGGTGGACTTTATTGCAGACAGAACATGAAATCTGATGTAAATGCAAGTGATTTGTCCCTACTTGAGTTGGAAGGTGAGCTGTTAGTGGAATCTTAGATCAACATATTTTAATATATTCATTTTTAACCATTGGTTGAATATAATCATATAGTTTCTGGTGCTTATCGCTACGACATTTGTAAGGAACTACTTTTTATGCTGCTATATGGGAATTCATTAGAAATTTTTACAGATTGCTTTCATGTTACCATAGGTAAATTTGTGATCTTTTTCTTTTGGAGTGTCTATGTACTCTTTGGGTCAAATTGGTAGATGATGTGTAAGATAGTGTAAGTTAAATACCATTATACTAATTTAGGCTTCCTCACACTCCAACTGTGTCTTCAATGCACTAAAAAGGGTGTTTTTACAATGCACTAGCTAACACATAATAACAAATGCAAAGTCAAATCATAGCAGAGACAAGACAGTTATAATTTTAACATGTTGAGGTAAACCTAGGCTCCCTCCTAATTGCTAAGGTGCAGCTTCAGACTGCTTTACCTTTATTTATAGCCTACATATACTCTTTTATCAATGTGTGAGTGTAAAGAAGTCTTAGGCTATGAGTCTTCACTGCCCAGAAAGGTGTGTTTTTACAGTGAGATACACAACTCACTGTAAAATGCTAGGGGAGACAAGACACAGCTAGTCTCTAACCTCAATATAGTTTTTATCACAGGTAATTTTTACCTCAGGGTATGTCTACACTACGGAATAAGGTCGAATTTATAGAAGTCGGTTTTTTAGAAATCGGTTTTATATATTCGAGTGTGTGTGTCCCCACAGAAAATGCTCTAAGTGCATTAAGTGCATTAACTCGGCGGAGCGCTTCCACAGTACCGAGGCTAGAGTCGACTTCCGGAGCGTTGCACTGTGGGTAGCTATCCCACAGTTCCCGCAGTCTCCGCTGCCCATTGGAATTCTGGGTTGAGATCCCAATGCCTGATGGGGCTACAACATTGTCGCGGGTGGTTCTGGGTACATATCGTCAGGCCCCCGTTCCCTCCCTGCCTCCGTGAAAGCAAGGGCAGACAATCCTTTCGCGCCTTTTTTCCTGAGTTACCTGTGCAGATGCCATACCACGGCAAGCATGGAGCCCGCTCAGGTAACCGTCACCCTATGTCTCCTGGGTGCTGGCAGACGCGGTACGGCATTGCTACACAGTAGCAGCAACCCCTTGCCTTGTGGCAGCAGACGGTACAGTACGACTGGTAGCCGTCATCGTCATGTCCGAGGTGCTCCTGGCCACGTCGGCTGGGAGCGCCTGGGCAGACATGGACGCAGGGACTAAATTTGGAGTGACTTGACCAGGTCATTCTCTTTAGTCCTGCAGTCAGTCCTATTGAACCGTCTTATGGTGAGCGGGCAGGCGATACGGACTGCTAGCAGTCGTACTGTACCATCTTCTGCCGAGCAGCCATGAGATGTGGATGGCATGCAGTCCTTCTGCACCGTCTGCTGCCAGCCAAAGATGTAAAAGATGGAGTGGGTCAAAACAAGAAATAGACCAGATTTGTTTTGTACTCATTTGCCTTCTCCCCTGTTTAGGGGTCTCATTCCTCTAGGTCACACTGCAGTCACTCACAGAGAAGGTGCAGCGAGGTAAATCTAGCCATGTATCAATCAGAGGCCAGGCTAACCTCCTTGTTCCAATAAGAACGATAACTTAGGTGCACCATTTCTTATTGGAACCCTCCGTGAAGCCCTGCCTGAAATACTCCTTGATGTACAGACACCCCCTTTGTTGATTTTAGCTCCCTGAAGCCAACCCTGTAAGCCATGTCGTCAGTCGCCCCTCCCTCCATCAGAGCAACGGCAGACAATCGTTCTGCGCCTTTTTTCTGTGCGGACGCCATACCAAGGCAAGCATGGAGGCCGCTCAGCTCACTTTGGCAATTAGGAGCACATTAAACACCACACGCATTATCCAGCAGTATATGCAGCACCAGAACCTGGCAAAGCGATACCGGGCGAGGAGGCGACGTCAGCGCGGTCACGTGAGTGATCAGGACATGGACACAGATTTCTCTGAAAGCATGGGCCCTGCCAATGCATGCATCATGGTGCTAATGGGGCAGGTTCATGCTGTGGAATGCCGATTCTGGGCTCGGGAAACAAGCACAGACTGGTGGGACCGCATAGTGTTGCAGGTCTGGGACGATTCCCAGTGGCTGCGAAACTTTCGCATGCGTAAGGGCACTTTCATGGAACTTTGTGACTTGCCTTCCCCTGCCCTGAGGCGCATGAATACCAAGATGAGAGCAGCCCTCACAGTTGAGAAGCGAGTGGCGATAGCCCTGTGGAAGCTTGCAACGCCAGACAGCTACCGGTCAGTTGGGAGTCAATTTGGAGTGGGCAAATCTACTGTGGGGGCTGCTGTGATGCAAGTAGCCCACGCAATCAAAGATCTGCTGATATCAAGGGTAGTGACCCTGGGAAATGTGCAGGTCATAGTGGATGGCTTTGCTGCAATGGGATTCCCTAACTGTGGTGGGGCTATAGACGGAACCCATATCCCTATCTTGGCACCGGAGCACCAAGCCGCCGAGTACATAAACCGCAAGGGGTACTTTTCGATAGTGCTGCAAGCTCTGGTGGATCACAAGGGACGTTTCACCAACATCAACGTGGGATGGCCGGGAAAGGTGCATGACGCTCGCATCTTCAGGAACTCTGGTCTGTTTCAAAAGCTGCAGGAAGGGACTTTATTCCCAGACCAGAAAATAACTGTTGGGGATGTTGAAATGCCTATATGTATCCTTGGGGACCCAGCCTACCCCTTAATGCCATGGCTCATGAAGCCGTACACAGGCAGCCTGGACAGTAGTCAGGAGCTGTTCAACTACAGGCTGAGCAAGTGCAAGAATGGTGGTAGAATGTGCATTTGGACGTTTAAAGGCGCGCTGGCGCAGTTTACTGACTCGCTTAGACCTCAGCGAAACCAATATTCCCACTGTTATTACTGCTTGCTGTGTGCTCCACAATATCTGTGAGAGTAAGGGGGAGACGTTTATGGTGGGGTGGGAGGTTGAGGCAAATCGCCTGGCTGCTGGTTACGTGCAGCCAGACACCAGGGCGGTTAGAAGAGCACAGGAGGGCGCGGTACGCATCAGAGAAGCTTTGAAAACCAGTTTCATGACTGGCCAGGCTACGGTGTGAAAGTTCTGTTTGTTTCTCCTTGATGAAACCCCCCGCCCCTTGGTTCACTCTACTTCCCTGTAAGCTAACCACCTGCCCCTCCTCCCTTCAATCACCGCTTGCAGAGGCAATAAAGTCATTGTTGCTTCACATTCATGCATTCTTTATTCATTCATCACACAAATAGGGGGATGACTACCAAGGTAGCCCAGGAGGGGTGGTGGAGGAGGGAAGGAAAATGCCACACAGCACTTTAAGCACAGCACTTTAAAAGTTTACAACTTTACAATTTATTGAATGACAGCCTTCTTTTTTTTGGGCAATCCTCTGTGGTGGAGTGGCTGGTTGGCCGGAGGCCCCCCCACCGCGTTCTTGGGCGTCTGGGTGTGGAGGCTATGGAACTTGGGGAGGAGGGCGGTTGGTTACAGAGGGGCTGCAGTGGCAGTCTGTGCTCCAGCTGCCTTTGCTGCAGCTCAACCATACACTGGAGCATACTGGTTTGGTCCTGCAGCAGCCTCAGCATTGAATCCTGCCTCCTCTCCTCATGCTGCCGCCACATTTGAGCTTCAGCCCTGTCTTCAGCCCGCCACTTACTCTCTTCAGCCCGCCACTTACTCTCTTCAGCCCGCCACCTCTCCTCCCGGTCATTTTGTGCTTTCCTGCACTCTGACATTAATTGCCTCCACGCATTTGTCTGTGCTTTGTCAGTGTGGGAGGACAGCATGAGCTCAGAGAACATTTCATCGCAAGTGCGTTTTTTTTTCTTTCTAAGCTTCACTAGCCTCTGGGAAGGAGAAGATCCTGTGATCATTGAAACACATGCAGCTGGTGGAGAAAAAAAAAGGGACAGCGGTATTTAAAAAGACACATTTTATAAAACAGTGGCTACACTCTTTCAGGGTAAACCTTGCTGTTAACATTACATACATAGCACATGTGCTTTCGTTACAAGGTCGCATTTTGCCTCCTCCCACCACGTGACTACCCCCTCAACCTTCCCCCCCTCCCTGTGGCTAACAGCGGGGAACATTTCTGTTTAGCCACAGGCAAACAGCCCAGCAGGAATGGGCTCCTCTGACTGTCCCCTGAAGAAAAGCACTCTATTTCAACCAGGTGACCATGAATTATATCTCACTCTCCTGAGGATAACACAGAGAGATAAAGAACGGATGTTATTTGAATGCCAGCAAACATACACTGCAATGCTTTGTTCTACAATGATTCCGAGTACGTGTTACTGGCCTGGAGTGGTAAAGTGTCCTACCATGAAGGACGCAATAAGGCTGCCCTCCCCAGAAACCTTTTGCAAAGGCTTTAGGAGTACATCTAGGAGAACCGTGAATGCCAGGGCAAAGTAATCCTTTCACATGCTTGCTTTTAAACCATGTATAGTATTTTAAAAGGTACACTCACCAGAGGTCCCTTCTCCGCCTGCTGGGTCCAGGAGGCAGCCTTGGGTGGGTTCGGGGGGTACTGGCTCCAGGTCCAGGGTGAGAAACAGTTCCTGGCTGTCGGGAAAACCGGTTTCTCCGCTTGCTTGCTGTGAGCTATCTACAACCTCCTCCTCCTCATCATCTTCTTCGTCCCCAAAACCTGCTTCCGTATTGCCTCCATCTCCATTGAAGGAGTCAAACAACACGGCTGGGGTAGTGGTGGCTGAACTCCCTAAAATGGCATGCAGCTCATCATAGAAGCGGCATGTTTGGGGCTCTGACCCAGAGCGGCTGTTTGCCTCTCTGGCTTTCTGGAAGGCTTGCCTCAGCTCCTTCAGTTTCACGCGGCACTGCTTCGGGTCCCTGTTATGGCCTCTGTCCTTCATGCCCTGGGAGATTTTGACAAAGGTTTTGGCATTTCGAAAACTGGAACGGAGTTCTGATAGCACGAATTCCTCTCCCCAAACAGCGATCAGATCCTGTACCTCCCGTTCAGTCCATGCTGGAGCTCTTTTGCGATTCTGGGACTCCATCATGGTCACCTGTGCTGATGAGCTCTGCATGGTCACCTGCAGCTTGCCATGCTGGCCAAACAGGAAATGAGATTCAAAAGTTCGCGGTTCTTTTCCTGTCTACCTGGCCAGTGCATCTGAGTTGAGAGTGCTGTCCAGTGCGGTCATAATGGAGCACTCTGGGATAGCTCCCGGAGGCCAATACCATCGAATTGTGTCCACAGTACCCCAAATTCGAGCCGGCAACATCGATTTAAGCGCTAATCCACTTGTCAGGGGTGGAGTAAGGAAATCGATTTTAAGAGCCCTTTAAGTCGAAATAAAGGGCTTCATTGTGTGGACGGGTGCAGGTTTACATCGATTTAACGCTGCTAAATTCGACCTAAAGTCCTAGTGTAGACCAGGGCTCAGTGTAGCTGGTTGAGGTAATCCCCAGGCAGTGAGTGTAGCATTGCCCTCAACTGGCTACATCAAAGTAAAAACTATCTGCGCCTTGTCTCCATTTGCAATAAAAACACATACTTTTTTGGCAGTGATACTCAAGTTGGTGTATTCTGGACAAGGAACTGTACAAGGTTAAAGGTTTGTCCTGCAGTCTTTCAGAGTTTGAATCTTATTCTCCACAAGTTTAGCCCCAGTCATTTAAAAATCAGAAACGGTCAATTTTCTTGATATTGATTTCACCCGTTCTTCCACAGATGATAGGGATTTTTGAAAAACATCAAATTTGACATAGAAAGGTGAAATAATTTCATTTCAGGAGTTGCCTTCCTCGTTCTCTGTACTCATAGAACAAAATGGTCCTGGTGCTTTCTGAATTAGTCCAGCATTTGTGGTTTGAAGGAATCAGTCCTCCCAGGTTTAGTCGTATTTTTCTTCATTTTCTTTGTGCAATCACTATCTGTGAAGGGAGATAGATCTTTTTGCTCCCTTAGTAAAAGAAAAGCTTTGAATTTTTGCAAGAAAACAGGAGAACTGTGCTCCTTACAGTCTAGCTGGTGTGCTAGGCATGCTCCTGTTATGGCTATCATAAACCATCTGCTGTGCTGTAGATTGAGTAAGAAGCTGTTCACGCTATTTGGTGATGATGGCGGACACCATATAGTTTGGCCTAGAGCAGGCGTCGGCAACCTTTCAGAAGTGGTGTGCCGAGTCTTCATTTATTCACTCTAACTTAAGGTTTCGCGTGCTAGTAATACATTTTAACATTTTTAGAAGGTCTCTTTCTATAAGTCTTTAATATCTAACTAAACTATTGTTGTATGTAAAGTAAATAAGGTTTTTAAAATGTTTAAGAAGCTTCATTTAAAATTAAATTAAAATGCAGAGCCCCCCGGACAGTTGGCCAGGACCTGGGCAGTGTGAGTGCCACTGAAAATCAGCTAGGGTGCCACCTTTGGCACGCGTGCCATAGGTTGCCTACCCCTGGCCTAGAGTATAGAGCACCAAATAGAGACTTAGGAGACCTGGGTTCTCTTCCTAGCATTGCCTCTGGCCTGTTGGATGGCCTTGGGCAAATCACTTAATCTCTGTGCCTCCGTTTTCCAGCTGCAAAATGGGGATAAATTGCTGCACTTTCAGACATACTGAAAATAAAAAGTTCTCTATAAAATCTAGGTATTATTAGAATAACAGCCACTAGAAACCTCAAGAGTACAGCTCCACAGCCTGCCAGCTGGGGCAGGCTCTCTTTCTCCATGGCTTGGAGAATGTTTTTTGAATCCTAAACTGGCAGCATTCCCCCATCTTCTTTAATTTCAGTTCAGGTTCTGTTTGTCTGCACATCCATTATTGTGCGGCCTACCCTCCAGTTAAGAATCTGGCCCCGAGCAGTGAGGTTTCATGGAGCTATGAGGGACCAGGAATAGGATCAACAAGATGACCAGGAATAGGAGGGGTGCAGATAGTAGAATTGTCTATATAAGCGATAAAACTATTGTGAATGTGAGAGATTTTGCTTTGTTTTAGTTTGGCTTTTGTTACTGTAACTCCTTTTCATTCACTGTTTTTTCCCACAGTCAGCACTGCTGTTGCCAGCAATCGTCCCTGTGAAATGCTTCTGATTACAGCTGGCGTCAGCAAATACACTGTTTGCAGTGTCTGTGTAGCATTTCCAAAAATGTGTTAGCATGAGTGGAGGACTAATGGGTCAAAAATTCAGGGTCTGAATACTGGTCTGAAAAACAGAAGACTGTTGCAACCTGCTATTTCATTCAGCGCCACAAAGGCTGTTAGCAGCAAGGCATTGAATCCCTTCCTTTCACTGTGTATGATATATTTCACTTTCAAATATGTCTTTTATTAATAAGGGATAAAAAAGACTGTGTGAATCGACTAAACTACAGTAAGGGTTTCCACTGGTGCATCACTAGATGCTGTAGCTATCAGTTCTATGAATGGTAACGAAAGAGGGCATGACATGCTGTAACGGGTTGCTGACTCACCACCATGGCACCTCCCTCTGGTTGCTCCGGGAACTAGCTCTGTCCTAGCTGTGGAGTGCCCTCTGTGGGTGGTGTCCCGCCCACTGTCTGCTCTGTTGTTTGTCTGTTTGGGACCCACATTGCTCCCTGGCTTGAAGTGTCCTTTTCTGGACACAGCCCTCCGACTGTGCTCCACTCGGTTCTCTCCCCTTTCGGGAGGTATCCATAGTCCTCTGTCTGCCCCTGCCTCGTGGCCAACTTCAGCTCCAAAGTCTAGCCCCTTGCCTCAGGGGGAAGTCACAGTCTGTATCTGGCCATGCTCCTCCACGGCCAGGTACACTGTAAGCGGGGGGGGGAAGGGATCCAGGCCCGCCAACTACTCTGGGTCCCGGCCCAGGGACCCTCTGGCAGCAGCCATGTCCTGCCCTCCTTCTCTCCCCTCTATTGCTCACACTCCCTGGGCCACTTCCCCTTTGGCCCTTGCACCTTCTCAGCCCTTTCTTTCAGGACCGATCCCCAACTAAATCATCCCAGCCAGAGCTTTGTCAAGCCAGGTATTAAAAACCTCTAAGGATGGAGATTCCACTACCTCCCTAGGTAACCCATTCCAGTGCTTCACCACCCTCCTAGTGAAATAGTTTTTCCTAATATCTAACCTAGACCTACCCCACTGCAATTTGAGACCATTGCTCCTTGTTCTGTCATCTGCTACCACTGAGAACAGCCTAGATCTATCCTTTTTGGAACCCCCTTTCAGGTATTTGAAGGCTGCTATCAAATCCCCCCTCACTCTTCTCTTCTGCAGACTAAATAAGCCCAGTTTCCTCAGCCTCTCCTCATAAGTCATGTGCCCCAGCCCCCTAATAATTTCAGTTGCCCTCCGCTGGACTCTCTCCAGTTTGTCCACATTCTTTCTATAGTGGGGGGGCCCAAAACTGGACGCAATACTCCAGATGTGGCCTCACCAATGCCGAATAGAGGGGAATAATCACTTCCCTTGATCTGCTGGCAATGCTCCTACTAATGCAGCCCAATTTGCTGTTAGCCTTCGTGGCAACAAGGGCACACTGTTGACTCATATTCAACTTCTCATCCACTGTAATCCCCAGGTCCTTTTCATAAGAACTGCCGCTTAGCCAGTCAATCCCCAGCCTGTAGCAGTGCATGGCATTCTTCTATCCTAAGTGCAGGACTCTGCACTTGTCTTTGTTGAACTTCATCAGATTTCTTTTGGCCCAATCCTCCAATTTGTCTAGGTTACTCTGGACCCTATCCCTACCCTCCAGCATATCTACCTCTCCCCGCAGCTTAGTGTCATCTCTGAGTTTGCTGAGGGTGCAATCCATTCCATCATCCAGATCATTGATGAAGCTGTTGAACAAAACCGGCCCCAGGACCAATCCCTGGGGCACTCTGCTTGATACCGGCTGCCAACTAGACTTTGAGACTACCTACTGAGCCCAACAATTTAGCTAGCTTTCTTTCCACCTTATGGTCCATTCGTCCAATCCATACTTCTTTAACTTGCTGGCAAGGTCCAAGCAGTGTCTGTGTAGACACTGTGTTACTTACATATGCCCCACACTGGGAGTTAAATTGGTGCAAGCACTCCTGGTGAGGATGCACACCGCTGACACAAGGAGCATAGTGTGGACATGTAAAAGCAGTTTAATTATGCAACTTAGGTCAACTTAATTTTGTAGTGTAGACTTGCCCACAGTCCCTGCCCTGAAGAGTTTACAGTCTAACCAAAGACATGACAAGTGAGCGTAACTCATGGAGAAAAGTTGTTCTTGTGGCTAAATCACATGACTGGTGGTCAGGAGACTCCATTTCTATTCCCAGCTCTACTACAGACTCTCTTTGTCTGATATTGACAGGACACTGAGCTGATCCAGGATGGCAATAAACAATGGGAAGAAAGTAACAAAAGGGGGTAACAAAAATAAACTTACATTGTTAAATAGCTATTGCAAAACCTGATAATTCCTAATCATCAGTAGGGATTTTAAAAATAAGAAAATTAAGCTCAGCTATCCCCAACTGCCATAAGGCATCACTGATTGCCTGATCTTGTAGGCATCACAGCAGCATTGGGTCTTGAAGGATTTGAACAAGGAGAGGGTAACTGCCTTATGGATAATTTCCAAGTATTCTATACATAAGGGGAAGCATGGAAGAAAGTGTAGAGACCTTTGTGGGAGAAACAGACACTTGGGTGTTTAAGATAGTAGTCAGTGGTGGAGAAAAGGAGACAGAGTGTGGTATAAGAGCAGGCAATCATGGAGAGACAGGGCTGTGAACAGAGGGCATTGAAGGTGAGAAGAAGAAGAAATGTGTATCTGGTGCAATGGAAGATGGAGAATTAGTGAAGGGATTCCAGGAGCCATGGTCCAGGAAGGTGACTGTAGCATTTAGAGTTGATCAAAGGGGCTTGGTGTCTGTGTGTGTGTGTTTCGTATCTCAGCACACCTTAGAGTTTATTTAGCCTCCTCCCATGGACAACATGGCATTTGCTGTCTCCTTGGAAAATTAAACTGCTTACGCTCCAGGCCCTGAATTTTTGATTAATTAATTAATATATATAATAATATGCAGTTCCTATACCATACTTCATCCATAGATCTCAAAGCACTTTGCAGATGAAGATAAGTATCATTATCCCCATTTTACAATAGGGAGATAGACAAGGGGAAGTGAAGTGACTTGCCTCAGGTCTCCTGCCACTCTGGTCTGAACAAGGTAATGCCTTGCAGCAGGAGTAGCACAAAGGCCCAGCTGTTGCAAAATTTCCTCACAAGGACCAGCCCCAATTGAAGCACAGTATAATGTTATTTTGGGATCAAAGCTCCGCTCTTGGCTCACCAGGCTCATTCTAGGCAGGGGCAGTCAGTGTACTGTGTTCCTTGCAAGCAATCCTTCTGGTTGACTAAGGGTCAGTGTTAACAGGCTCTGGAAAAAATT